TACAAAATCGAGATACAGACGAGTTAAGTGAAATTTGAGAAAGTATTAGCTGAATTTGATGAACTGGCTCTTTAATTCTTTATGGCTTCGTTTGTAGTGTTCGAAGTCATTCAGCTACAAAATCGAGATATAGACGAGTTAAGTGAAATTTGAGAAAGGATTAGCTGAATTTGATGAGCTGGTTCTTTAATTCTTTATGGCTTCGTTTGTAGTGTTTTTTCATGCAGTTTGTTGGCTATTTACAAGTTTGGCAGACTGCAATTTGATCTTTTCTTGTTTGACTTGCAGTAGATTTAGCTGCCAAAAGCCGATATACCGAAAAGATGGGAGAAATACAAAACGGACAATTTTCAGGAATCTTCAAATGAACCTTTTGTATTTTTTTCTATTTGTCTTCGCACAGAAAGACACGCCTTAACCAAAGGGCTTCAGACCGCTCAGATCTTAATACAAAAGCTCAATGCATCTTTTGACTGTCATAATTACTAGAAGATCTTTTCAAAAAGACTTGTCAAATGGCCCCTATATCTTTTTTTCTTCTTTTTCTTTTTACCTTGCCAAAACCCAGAAGCCAGAAGCCAGATTAATTGGTTCAGGTTCTAGGAGAGAAATTCCCTGGATTAATAGGGTGGAAATGGAATTAGGACTTGGCAGAGGCTTAACTGTAGTGTTTTTTTAACTAAGTCTCAGTTTAAAAAGAGTACAAATACAAATATGTATAGTATAAATATATACAAAATACAAGTTTTTGCATTCTACATATTTGGCTCAGTTTGAAAGGAGAACATATACAAATATGCAGAGTGTAAAACCTTGTATTTTGTATATATTTGTACTGTACATATTTGTATTTGTACTCTTTCAAAACYGAGCCTAAGGATTAAAAGAATGAATAAAAATTGAAACTCGACATTTACAAAGTTTTTCGATTTTCCTTTATTTATTCAATTTTCCAAAGGCTGGAAATTTGAGAATAATAGGCTTTCATTTATGTGTTTAAGAAGATTTCTGAAATTTCTAAAGTTGGGCTAGTGAACTGAATTTCACACCATGGAAGTGGAAGTGGAATTTAATTTTTATCAAATTTTAGCTTATTTTGTTTAGTTGCAGTACAAATGAAGTAAATTAAAACATGAATCAGAATAAAGTAAAATCCAAAATAAAATTAAATGAGAATTTATATTTTTTATATTTGCACTCCCATACATTTATACTAGTGCAAATAAAATTATAATTGAACAAAACACAACCTAAGCTGATAAAGAGAGGTTTACCAAACTATGGAGCTGGTTTGATTTATAACCAATGAATTACTTATTGCTTTAGCTTTCAGTGAATAAAGTAATTCAGTTGGAGGGGAGGCTGGGAGCTCTCTACTTACTGAAGGACAGGGTGGGGTGATTACACCCTAAATATTTCATCCATTAAAAGACACAGCGAAAAGTAATTTCCTTAGTTGAGCCAATTGAACTGTTATCAATCAGCTCACAGAAGTGCAACGAATAGATCCACATGAACCTACAATTTTGATAACTGTGTTGGGGTAGCTTTATTTGTTACGTAATCTCTTCTCTGAAGTCCCAGATCAAGATTCTCTGCATCTGTAAAAATCTGATACAAGCAGCAAACATTGGGTCAAAGGTGCAAGAAATCTTCCTTACTGTATTTGGGGCCCAAAGGGCCCAATATATAATCTGTTGGTGATTCTCTATTAATAGGTAGGGCTGTCAACAGGTAGGGTCTGGGTCCGAACAGGCGAACAGGTTCAGAACCGACGGAAGGTTATACTGTTTTAATAATCAGAATCAAATAAACCCCTATAAGCTCTGTAATTTTAAACCTAAAACCGAATCAATCACTTTTCAAGACATTCGAGTCTAATCCAATGGACAGAATTGTAAGAAACATGCTGAAAAGGACAACATATTACAAAAGGAATATCTTTAAAATTCATACCAATGAAATAAATGGTACGCTGATTGCTGATTGAAAATGAGCTCAGTCACTGCTCACAAGACCTTTAGCATCCTCACTCCAGTCAAAGTCACTAATAGCTTCTTCACAAGACCTTGAGCTCACAACTCTTTTTTTGGTTATATATGTAGGGAATAAGATAGGGATGGTAATTTTCTCCATACCCGAAGGGGATATGACTTCTCCAATCCCATTGGATCGGGGATGAGGATTGTTTTGGTGAGGCAGGGACGGGATGGGGATTGAGGTCTCCACTCTATCCCGATTTCGATTATATATATATAAATATATATATTAGATGTTATTTATATTAAATATATATTATTATATTATTTATGTTATATATATTTGTATATATATCAAAACATATTTAAAGCATTATTTATAATTTAAATTTTTTATTTGTTTTTTAAAAAAATACTGTTATCTAAAAAAAATTTGGGGATTTAGGTCCCCATCTAGGATTAGAGGTGGAAGACAAATTTTATCCCCGACGGGAATTAGAGACGGAGATAAAGTTAATTTCAAAATCAGGGTTTGGAATGGGAAATAAGATCCCGCCCTGATGCCATTCCTAAAACAAGACAAAAATATCAGCCGCACATCGGTTACCTGCCGATTGCTGGCTTGCCGTGCTTCCACAATGCTTATAGTGGTTGTTGCTACCGGTAACTATGCTGCCTCCAACTGTGGTCCTAGCCGACGATACCACTGTTTGCGACCTTGTGGTCTTAGGTACAGGGATGGTTCGGTTGGAGGCTTGGAGCTTGGAGATGGAGAATTGGAGTTCGATACTTCGATGGGGGGGATGAGAGTGAGAGATTCGGGACAGAGCGAACCTGTTCCCAACCCGATAGGAATCGGGACAAAAAATGAAGAACCGGAACAGACCCATCAGTATAGATCCTCGAACCAAAACTTTGTATTCGGGCCCATCGGGGGTCAGGTTAGACAGCCCATTGTTAGCCCTATTAATGGGTCAAATTTGAATTTAATTATCAAAAAGCCCGCATAAGGTAATTAAGCACTTATTTTAGGCTGGAAAGCATTTTTTTTAAGGAAAATCGCCCATTTTGGATAAATTCAATCTTTTTTAAAGCATTTTTTAAAAAGTACTTATTGAATTTCTAGCCCTTCTTGGCCGGCCATGTAATTTTTAAAATATCTATACTCCCCCTATTTAAAAGAAACACTATCTCACCAAGCACTTGCATTAATAAGAACTTTATCCAATAAGCCCTCCCAAACGGCTAAAACTACAGCTTGGGGACCACGTCAGTCACTTACAACGTGGACATTTAAAGAGCTGCCAGCCGTCAGATTCACTGGTTGGTCTAAGAGTATCTAACAATTGCCCAGACTTCATTGTGTAGAACGTTATTTGAGTAGTTATTAGTGTTTGGGAGGGAGGTTTTTTTCCAAACCACTTATACTTATTTAAGTATTTCTTTGTATATTTTCCGAAATGATTTTTACAAAAGCATATATTTGACATTTTTGAATATTATATCAACATATTTTGATGAAAAATAGTAAAAAAAGCAGGAGGTTACAGAGGATGCCGCCAACTACAATGGATTAGGTGCTAGATCTGAAAATCCATTGCAAATTAGTTCAATATGAACCAGAAGGAAAGGGTTTGGAGAAATGAAGAAAGCAAAGCAAATAACATGAAGAAAATGGGGCTAAACAATAGGATTTCACACACATGAAGCCAACTAGCACTAGGAAAGTCACCACCACTACTCTTTAGAACGCTGAAATTGAGAAGACAATAGGATTCTATCGTCCTTTGAAAAATAGGGGCAGTCCTTGAAAATTATAGATATATTTAGGGATAGTTTTGTTAATAAAAAGATATATAAGTGTTTATTCGGGACCACAAAGGAATAAGCACTTATTATCCAATTATTGTATAGTCACAACACTTATCGGTACTTATTTTAAATATTTCCAAACAGGGCCTAGGGTCTTGAATGCAAGAAGAAAGAGAAGGAGGGAGAAACGGAAAAAGCACCTAAATATGGATGCACTTTCCGGCATATCCTCCCACACAATCAGATCTCTCTCATCGAGGGTGGTGTGACATTCACTTTCACTTACCATCCTCTCCTTTCCTTAACCTTCTAGTGATGGGCGGATGGTGATCGAGGACATGCACGGATGACACCCTCAGCTAGCCGCGAGGTCATCGGAGTTGGGCCACTGTACCGATAGTAGAAGACGATGGGGAGGGTGTCAAGGCCTATTAGGCATGTTCGTAGATAGAGTCATCTCACTCTCTCTTACCCCCACTCTAACTTATCTCCTAACTTAAGTATTATAACCCAACTCTAACACCTAGTGTTTGTGTTCGTGTAACCCAACTCTATCAAACCTCTTTGTGCTACTTTTCTACCTTGGTATCAGAGCCTAATACCATGGCCTCCAACGGTACAGTCTATGCTTCAGTCCAGAACTCTTAGAGTTCTCAGTCCAATATGTCCTCAATACGCAGGCATGATCTCTTCTTCGGTCTCTACCTTCTCTCACTATCTCCCTATCAAATTGGGTGGAGATAATTACCTACTCTACAAGGTGCAACTACTCCCATTTTTTACACTAATAAGGTCTTGGGCATCGTCGATGGTACCACCAAAGCTCCTCCCAAGGAAGTCAATGATCTTAGGGACCCTAACGTCAAGATGCTGAACCCTGTGTATACTGAATGGTTTCAACAGGACCAGCTGGTCCTCAATTAGATTATTTATACCCTCACCGAAGGGATCTTCTCTCAGGTGGTAGGCCTTCACTCATCTCATAAGGTATAGACTACTCTTGTGAAATCATCTTCTGCTCATTCTCAGTCTCGGATCCATCAGTTGCGTCGATAGTTACAAAGTTGAAAGAAAGGCAATCTCTCTATCACTGAATATATTAATAAAGCTAAGTGTCACAATGACAATTTATCTATTGTTGTCGAGCCCGTTAGCTCTATAGATCTCATATTATTTGTTCTAGTTGGGCTAAGTTTGGAATACGAATCGATGGTTACTGTTGTCACCAATCGGTCCGATTTTGACCAGCTCGACATTGATGATATCTTGGGTATTCTTCTTAGTTATGAAGCTCGGTTAGAGCAACAACATCCCCCATCCATACCTCTCAACAGCAACCCCCAGAATGGTTCTTCTCTTACCATTCGTGGTCGTAGCTATGGGCATGGTGGTTCTGATGATTGATCTAGTAGAGGTCAAGGTCGTGGTCGTTCTACCATCATCTGTCAAGTGTGCAACAGTCACGGACATGGTGCACTCAAATGTAGACATTGGTATGATCTTAATTTCAATAATATGCAAATAGAGGAATGTGAACCAATAACCTTTCATGGAGGTGTCTCCAACTTTAATCCCACATGGTATCCGGATTCTAGCGCCACACATCATATGATATTAGATATCGATAATATGCAAAATCGTTTTGATTATGGAGGTTCGGATCAAGTTAAGGTCAGCAACAAGGTAGGTTTGTATATTTTTCATATCGGTTCTTCTTTGATGTCTTGTGCTTCTCATAATTTCAAGTTAAATGGTTTGATGCATGTACCACACATCTCGAAGAACTTATTATATTTTAGCAAATTTACTTGTGATAATGATCTTTTCTTTAAATTCCATCATGACTATTTTGTTTAGAATGACTATATGGGGAGACAAATTCTGCAAGGACCTAGTAGATATGGGCTTTATTGTTTCCCAAGTAGTCTTAGCATCAAGAATGACTCTCCAATTGCTTTCATAGGTGAACATACTTCTATTCAAGGTTGACATCAACGACTGGGACATCCAGCTCTTCGCGTGGTACGACAAGTGGTCTTCAAATTCGGACTCCAGTCTTATGCTAATGATGTTTCATCTGTGTGTATGAGTCTTGTCAGTTAGGGAAGAGTCATAGGTTGCATTTATCTTCTTCTATTAGTCAGTCTAGTGCTCCTCTAGATTTAATTTTTTAATTTTTTCAGATGTTTGGGTCCTACCACTGTTGCACCCAATGATGGTTACAAATATTATGTAATTTTTATTGATGATGGTTACAACAAATTTACTTGGTTATTCTTGATGCAAAATAAATCAGATGTATTTGATATTTTTCTTAAATTTAAGAAGCGTGTTTGTTAGCACCCGATTTTTGCTCGGTCTGTTGCCTGGACCTCCAATTTACCCTAAACAACCAATCAAGCCCTTTTGATCCCCCAGAAACACCAAAAAACCTAAAGAACCCAAATTTTTCACCTGAGAGCCCTCAAATCCATCGTTAAATTTACTYGATACCAATCTGATGGCCTTGATCAATCCCCACCAACACATCAACCACTAGATCAGACAATACCATTAGACTCAAGACCTCCCAGAATTTCTATCTAGCAAATCTCAACTCAAAATTCCTTCTTTTACCTCCCATCAGACCAAGATTCCATTTCAATCCCTGTTATTAGCCTAAACCCTCATAACCCATATTCCCTCAATCTTAACACATTCGAACCGATCAGACCACACCATTAAACTCTAGAAACACCAAAACACCTATGCGTAAATTTTTTAACCTAAGATTCTCCCGTTTACCCTTTTATTAAACCAAGATTTTGTTCCTAATCTTATTATTGACCCAAATTCCACTTGATCCAAACACATCTAAACCAATAAAACCTTGCCAATCACCCTGAAATGTCAAAAAACCTTTACATATGAAATTTCAGCCCAAAATACCTCCATTTACCCCTCAATTGTGCTAAGACACCATTTTGTGGCTTCAGATTGATTGGATTCCAAATTCGCCTGATCAAGGCTAGTTGTTCCAATCTAACCTTACTAATCACCTTAGATTTCCCAAAAACACTACCCTGTGAAATTTCAACCAAAAATACCTTTATTTTCCCCTTTATCGCACTAAGATTCCATTTCGAAGCCCTAAATTAAACAAACTAGTGCTTTTCTGCATCTGCTCGATCCAGGCTTAATTGGATCAATCCGACCCCACCAATCAACCCAGAACGTCCAAAGACCCCATCCTTCCAAATTTCAGCCAAAAATATCCTAATTTACCCCTTCATCCGAAAACATTCTATTTCGGCTAATCTTATAGGTTTACACACTCAAGATCACTCATTGCGATCAAAGCCACCTCAACCCTCTGATCTTTGATCCGGAACCACCCACCATTGGATTATAAACCTGGTTTGACCCCCTTAGTCCCAATTGGACTAGATTGCCCTCAATTGTTCATAATTACGAAAATATCCATATATTTCTTAAAAATCATCAAAATGCCACTTCCTCCCCATATAAGTAAACCCAAATTAAACGGTCACCCTAATCCCAAGAGATCACGGTTGAGAGCAATATTCACCTTCTTCTCCATTAGACTCGATATAGCGGTGATGGTAAGAGAGCATCAGATCTCTTCTCCCTTCTCTCTTTCTTTCCCCCTTTCTCTCTCTTTTGTTCCCCTCCCCTCTTCATACCTTCGATTGTGTATGTTGTCCTCTACTTCGGTCGTACAATCACCACAAGTTCTCCTTCCGATCACTTTGATGCATCTTCATTCACTATAGCAGTTCTCACAAGGATTACACATGTCATCACCCTTCATTTCGACAACTTTACATTGCCCGACATGTCATTTTTTATGAGAGTTGCTTTTTGGGTATTCCTTCCTCTCCGTCTCCCACTTCATATACTCCCACTGGAGTGACTATTTCTGTACCTCCGGGTTTCTCTTCTTCTACTACTTGTTCACCGCTGACCATGTCTTCTCCACCGAATGCTGACCCAACCCTCTCATCTTGCTCCACTTCATCTCCGATCCCTCCATCTCCACCTACAAACAACGTTATTTCAAGTGAAGTTCTCCTCCTTCATGTGGCACTCGACTTGTACAAGAGTTGTTTGACACCACTCACCTAGTCCCGACACCCTCCACCCGCACTCATCGTACCATGCTTGCTTACTCTTTTATGGGTTCTCTACCAGCTCAATTGCATACTGCAGTCCGCTATCCTATTCTAAAGTCTCTACTTGCTACTCTTCATGATAACCATCACGGGCCTAGTTATTTTTCTAAAGCCATTAAAGAACCCTATTGGCGTGATGCGATGTCTTTAGAGTTCAATGCTCTTGTCGCTAACGACACATGGACCATGGTGCCCCATCAATAAGGTTTCGGGGGTTGATTTCACAGGTACTTTTAGTCCAATTGTCAAACCAATCTATATCCGTATTGTTATTGCTCTTTCTAGTGCTCTTCGTTGGCCTCTTCAGCAACTGGATTTTGACAATATGCCTTTCTTAATAGCTATGTCTCAAAGGACATTTACGTCCATCAACCTAAAGGTTTTGAGGACCCCAATGTTCCTCACCATGTCTCCTTGAAAGATCTTGGATCAGCACACTATTTTCTTGGCTTGGAGATCTCGGCCCAACCTCATGGCATTGTTCTCACCCAATGACAATACATCTTGGATCTCTTGAGGCATGGAAACATGGCTGAGGCCAAACCCCTCACTTCTCCTATGGTAGTAAACTCTAAATTGTCTAAGTTTAGTGGGGACTCTCCCTCAGATCCCCTGAAGTAATGGAGTATTGTAGGTGCACTCCAGTATCTTACTATTACACGGCCGAACATCTCATTCTCCGTCAACAAAGTTTACTAGTTTCTTCACTCTCCAATGACAGAACACTAGGTTGTTGTTAAACAAATCTTATGGTACCTCAAGCACATGATAGATCATGGACTTCATTTCTACTCCACCTTAGCTCTTTTCACTCTTCAAGCATTCTCTGATGCCGATTGGGTCGAGTGCCCCGACGATCATCATTCTACTTAAGATTACCTCATTTACTCTAGGCGGAACTTGGTTTCCTAGAATTCTAAGAAACAACCCACCATTTCTCGTCCGAGTACAAAGTCTGAATTCCAAGCTTGTTCCAACGCTTGCCATGGAATTGCTTTGGGTTCGTTCCTTGCTACTAGATTTAGGCCTCTCACTGACAATGGTACCGATTATTTGGTGTGACAATATTGGTGCCACATATCTTGCTGCCAATCCTTTTCGTGCTCGTACAAGACACATTGAGGTTCATTTCCATTTTTTGAGGAACCTTGTGCTCAAACACACATTCTCTCTATTCAGTTTATATCATCCAGTAATCAAGTCATGGATCTGCTCACCAAACCGATCAGCGGCACTTGTTTCACCTTTCTATGGTCTAAGCTTCATGTCTTACTTGGACATTTCACTTGAGGGGGCGTATTAGAGCATGCTTGTAGATAGAGTTCTATACAGATCTACATCTCACTCTCTCTTATCCCCACTTTGACTTATTTCCTAACTTAAGTATTGTAACTCAACTCTAATACCTCTAACACCTAGTGTTTGTGTCAATGTCTTTGAACCGTTGTTGACTCGGACGGTCAGACTGTTCTAACCATTGAACCGTTCGACTTGGAGAATGGTTTGTGGTTTATTACCTCTGACAAGTTTTGTTAGAACAAGAATGAAAAGAGAAGATCTCTCAGATTTGAGATCTACCGGAGAGAGATGGGAGAGACAATGAGAGAGATCTAAGAGATCTTACATTTAGAGATCTAGAAGAGCAGTCTAGACTCTAGATGACAGGTCAGCAAGAGAGAGAGAGAGAGAAAGAGAGTGAGATATGAGATTGAAAAATCTCAAATCTACTTTCATTACCAGTTTTTCACCATCGTCGCCGCTGTTGCCACTATAGTTCGCCATCGTCGTCACTGTTTTAGCTGACAGTTTCTCAAATCTCTTTCATTCAAACCTTATTTTTCTCTTATAGTTATATGCATCTTATCCTAATATTCCCATCTAATGGATAAGATGACATATCACTTGTTAAAATATTCAAACCATCCAAACCGTTTGATCCGAACGGTTGAACCGCTGACCCGAAAATCAATGGCTATAATGGTTCCGTTTCCTAGTCGATTTTTAAAATCTTGATTTGTGTTGTAATCAAACTGTTTGATCACTATAAATATACAAAGGGTTTGATCAACTCATCATCGAACCATTCTACCAAACCTCTTCGTGCTAGTTTTCTAACTAGGCCCATTGCGTGGTCGAGTAAAGACATTGGATATGTCTTCCCCGGACGAGTAGAAGTGTCATAGACGACCATCTTGAATGTAGGTACACGATGAGTCTTTTTACGTTCGACATCGTTGCCGGACAATAAGAGAGAGAGAGAGAGGGATTGGGAGCTCGGTTTTGGAAGCTGGTAGTAGTTGCCTACGTTTATAGCCCAGTTCGATCTGATATGATGGACGATTGGGTTTGAATGTTGAATGTTTATTTTTTTTAAGTTCTGGTTCCATAGAAGTTATATTAATTATTATCATTTTTAGTTTAACTTATTGATGATTTTCAATCCAATCCAATCCAATCCAACGTATGAAGTTCTGTTTGTATCCTAATATTAACGAATCAAATTTGAATCTG